CCAAAATTCGGCCAACTAGGATTCGATGTTTTGGGTGACCAGGATTCAGCAATGTGGCCTAAATTAATACATGTTATACAATATTCAAATTTAGTTGAGCATCACTGATGAAAACACAACTAGAAATTATTATATAGAGTTTACATACGGTTTCGCCTACATAATTGCCATAATTACATTTAGTTCAAAAATGACAAAATTCGGTAAACTGGGTTCGGCAAACCAAAATTCGGCCAACTAGGATTCGATGTTTTGGGTGACCAGGATTCAGCAATGTGGCCTAAATTCGGCAAATCGGGTTTCGGCTAACTGGATTTTCGACCAATATTGACAACAAAAAACGAACACACACAAAGCTTGGATGTAATCTTATCACTCTCTCTTTGTTTATTTTTCAAAAAGTAAAAAAAAATGCATAAATATGATTACATTTTCACACTTCAAATTCTTGTAAAATGAAATAAATCACATTAACCGTCAATCAACGAAATTTTTTTTTCAGTTTTATTAATACATGTTATACAATATTCAAATTTAGTTGAGCATCACTGATGAAAACACAACTAGAAATTATTATATAGAGTAATGCAGAACAACAAGGCATTCATTATTATCAACATTTCCACAATGGATACAAGTCTAGAGCCTGAGGGTTGGGAAGTGGTTATGTATGAAGTGGGTACAGTATGGTTTGGTATGGTGTAGGCTTAGATGTTAGGGAGGGTAGGGGAAGGAAGAGATGGATACACAGTAATATGAGTACACTTTACTGCACTGCACAAAAATGTGTATAATACTGAATGCACTCCTGTCTCTGGCAACATAATTAAGTTAAAGAAGTTTTAATTTCCATAAAAAAAATGCTCATCTAATGGCGATCATTGTCAATTTAACACAGCACAAACTATTTAATTTACTATATATCCACAAAAGAAAAATTCATTGAAAAATATTACAAAATCTGATATAAATTGATATAAAAGAGTAATATATAATTATACAATTACTAATATATAATTATATAATTAGCAGCATTACACTTAGTATAGGTGCATAGTTGTGTTCTGTTAGAATACATTTTTACAGTTTTTAAAAATACGATCTTGCTGAAATATCAATAAATTTAGAGTTTCTTGTTGCCAGTAGACATCTAAATGACATTATAGCAGCAACAATATCAAATTTTATTTAGTGTATGCAAAGCCGGGCATTCACTGTGGCTCAAATCATCGGCTGACGCAATTTTACGGAGAACACAACACCACGACACACGTGCAACAGATTGTTCCAATGGGCTTATTTGACTGGTTAATTTTATTGACATTTTTTTTCGATGAGTATTATTTTCAATTAACTGGTTCGTAAAATAGACTTCGTTGACAACGAAAATTAACATAAACCAGAGTGTGTTAATCAGAGTTAAGGTATCCACGTGACCAAAACAAACATGGCCGATTGGTCAGTTTAGCAACAACATTAATTTTTGTGTTAATATAATTGAAATTAAATTTCAGAATACAAAATTATAATATTTACCCACATGAAGTCAAAAAATAATTGGAGGCTAACAGAATTCAAAACTGGATGAAAAAATTTTTTTACGAAAAACCCATACTGCCACAATCTGAAGCATCCTTGATTTACGCAGCATGTATTGCGGTAACTACGCAGCCATTTTGTTTCGTCGAGTATTTACCAGTTTTCTATCAACTGGTCATTTTGTTACGTAGGATTTTACCTCTGCGCAGGTGGGCGTGGTTTATTTTACCTCTGCGCAGGTGGGCGTGGTTTATCGAAGAACAACCAGTTAAATTTGGACATTGATGATGTATTCAGACTGCCGCAGGCAATCAACAGATGGTGTCGCGTCATCTAGCGCTCACAGTGAGCAGAGTTGGATTTGTGGTACTACAGTCGTATGATACATGTGAGTGCCCAGGCATAAGGTGCAATTCAAGTGTTAATAAAAGTCTACATATATTTATATCTAAATGCACATGAATTATTTGAAAGAAACCGGTACACATACTTAGAAAAACCCATAGAATTCAGCTGCCTTTAAGACTTTTTCTTTAAAAAAATTAATTTGAGAATTTTATAAGATAATGATTCCTTTTCGATAATATAATTAATGAAATAATGGTAGAAAAAGTGCTCAAATAAAGTACAGTAACAATGATGTAAAGATTGCATCAGGCAAATCTGTAGCCTATCAATGAAGATCATTATCAACTGTTTGTAAAAGTGCCCTTGGCGGGAATTGAACCTGCGATCTCTCATTGTCAAGGCAAGCATCCTCGATGGGGGCTACTGGTACAGTATCGCAGATACAACCCAATCAGGACACTTATCCAAATAATCAGATATATGCCACATCATTTGTTTTTACTATTAATAGTGAAATAGTTATTGAAGTTAATTTACAATCCATAAGAATTGAAATAATTTGTTAATTAACAATTTCTCATTAAAATAAATTGGAAACTTCCCTTCCATTATGACATTTAACATAAAAAGTACAAATTATATTATCTGATATAACATTCAAAAGTTTAACCAAGCTTCAATTCCAGGCCACATTTGATATGCACAGATGAAATTCACAACGGAATGTTAACAATTATTTAATTAATACACTTCCTTGTACTTCTTTTATAACAATATTCACTTTATGTATGGAAGCTATGATTCCACAATTGTGGCAAAGACAAGCCAAACCAGTAACTCGTCGCAAAAATTGAGTTATTAATACAGTGTTAGAGAGTAAAACAATAGCAATAAAATGGTAAAAAAATCATTCAAATTGGACATTTCCTTATGAAGTTGCAAGCGTTTAATCACACAGCTGTTTAAAGAACAATATATGAGAAATTAGCCTTCAAAGTTTATGATTTCAGGCATTTCTCATGCAGAAACTATCTTTAAATCCTTACAAAGTGTTGTTTTATCATTGAAAATGGGGAAAATAACAGCATAGAATGATGTATAGATATATAAAGGTTAGTTTAGTGCAATAAAATAGATTTTTTAAAATTTGACATTCCAGCATGTTTTGGCCATTTTCTCTGTAACACGATTTGCGACGAGTGACTGGTTTGGCTTGCCTTTGCCACAATTAATGAACCTTTGAACTAAAATAAAATTAAATCATTTTTTACATTTTAAAAAATTGTTCATTCATGAAAAAAACTATTTATTTTCACAACAAAGAGCATTTGCTAAAAAAAAACGTCATTAGATTATCAACACCTAACTTTGAAGTCAGTTACTATGGTACACATCAATCTCCTAAAATATACTGTAACAAAAGTACTGAACAGTACACTAAATTTGAGTCAGAATGTGATAATGAATAAATATACAATAATAATAATTATTATTATTATTGTATTTAATAAAGATATACAACCTTTGATAAATTTGA